GCAACATGCATACGCTCGACATCCACTCTGCTACTACAGAAGAGATTCTTTCTCTCGAAAACATCCGTGCCGTTCTCATTCGACTCGAAGAGACCATCATCTATCAACTCATCGAACGCGCGCAATTCGCACGCAATGCGAAATGCTACCTCCCCGATGGGTTTCCAGAATTGAAGGAGAGAGAAGGTTGGAATAGCTCTTGGCTTGCTTGGTTTTTGAAGGAGACGGAAAGTACACATGCGAAAGTGCGCCGTTTTGAAGCGTAAGTCACTCGATTCCTACAGTGTCTTCTGCATGAATGACTCGCTGATCTGATTTGCATTCGTGCGTTGAAACAGCCCGGACGAGTATCCATTCACAGACCCAAAGCTGTTGCCGAAGCCAATCTTGGCACCGGTGACATACCCAGAGCTGCTGTGGAAGCATTCGGTCAATGTCAATGATCAGATTCTCAAGTTTTACGTCGACCAAATCATTCCAGACATTACAAAGACACTTGGTGAGGTGAGTCATCTCTTTTTGCTCGATGCTGATCTTGTTGATCTCTTTCTAGTGCTGACCTTTTATCTCTCTTGCCATGCTGGTGGTGCAACAAATGAAAGAACGCGGATGACGGACACTACGGCTCCTCAGCCATTCGAGACATGGAAGTCCTTTCAGCTCTCAGTCGTCGAATTCATTTCGGTAAGTTGACACCAAACCCCCTTCCCTTTCAGTTCTCGCTCGTTCAACAACTCACACTTGACCCTCTTCTCCTTTGTGTTGGTGTTGGCAGGAATGTTCGTCTCCGAGTCCAAATTCCGCGCTGAACCAGCCGCATTCATCCCACACATCCTCAACCCTAATCGAGAAGCACTTGCTGGACTCATCACAAAACCTGCTGTTGAAGCTGCCCTTCTGGTACGGCTCGCAGAGAAAGCGAAAGTGTATGGTCAAGATATGGATCGACCAGGTGCGAATGCGGAGGAGAGGGAAAAAGAACGAAAGATTGAGGTGGACACGGTGGTGCGCATCTACAAGACATTCGTTATTCCGCTGACGAAGGAGGTTGAGGTGGATTACCTTTTGACCAGGTTGGATGGCGTACCGCAGGAGAAGATCGATGAGATGATCAAGAGTGATAAGTTTGTAAACTAGGCTAAGATGCATTGAAATTCAAGGGAAGCATGGTGATTTCAAAATGTCTGATCGATGCCGTACTGCTGAACCTTGCTACTGAGACAAGCGGGCGCTCATGTATCTCTCCCAAGAAACCTTTCGTGTACACTCCATTCAGCACAAACTGCAACCCAGGGAAGAATGGTATCAAAGAGTCGTAGCTACCCGATCCAAGTACTATTTACAACAAACAGAACCATATTCACAATCTACCACCTAGCCTCCTTCTCAATGCTTTGGAGGGGGATAACCATACTGGCCACCTTGCGGCGGACCGTATCCGTACTGCTGTGGTTGTTGCGGGTGACCCTGATGACCACCGAAACCTCCACCTGCTACCTGTGGTTGGAATCCACCGTCCTGTGAAGACTGCCATTGACAAATGTTGCAGAAGAAGACATGCTTTGTCTTCATAGGGATCAAAGGGATCCAGCAGAGTTCGAACCAGGTTCGTGCTTTGGCTTGAACAACCTGGGCGTTGTTGCATCGAGGACAGACACGTGCTGTGCCATCTCCCTCTTGTTTCATTTTGGTGGGGCAGCCGAAGATGACTGGGATGAAGAAGCAGAAGTCCTAAAATTCGAGGGAAAGCAGTGTAGAGGAGAAAAAGGAGAGAGAGGGGGGTCAGCCAGTAGAACGATTGGCAACGCAATGCAATGATGGGTGCGGGAGAGGAGACTTACCATTTTGGGCTAGATCTATGCTTTGGGAAATATCGATGAGTGAGTGATGAGTTAGGCTGATGAATGGCAATCTTCCAGGTTTGGTTCCAGGTATGCGATCGATGGTCTGATAGTGTGGTATATATGCAGATGTCGCTTGTACGTTTGTGCGTGTGGGTGGCGAACAAGGTGTGATGATTGCGATGAGGAAAGTTGTGAAGATGAGATCAGATAAGTTGTATTAAAGCCGAGAGCAAGGGCCGGCATCTCTGGGACACAGCCGCAAACCTCCACACTCCTCTTCTTGCTCTCACAGCCAAAGTTCCCCTCTCAGCGCCTGCCGTATAACGCCGTTCTTGGCATGCTCAGAATTAGCGACAGTTGTGTTGTGTGGATCGTGAAATCGGGGTTCCTAATCGGGGCCCGACTTTATTCTCGGCAGTCGGACACAGCAGCTAATGCTCTTCTGTTTTTTCTTTCTTTTTCTTTTTTCTTTTCCTGCTTTATCTTTTGCTGCATTGTTTGCTATCGAAGAATTTGTGGGACAGGGTTCAGGATCTTCTCAAGACTTGCTCACCACACTACCCAGACAATACCGCCGTTACTGACGACAACAGCATAGCATCGGATTCTGACAAGAGGCAGGCGAAATCAAGGGTCTGTCTACAGGCAGATAATCCCGCTAAACCACTTAGCATCTGAATAACTTCATCATCACAAAGACCCCTTTGCAAGTCAGTGCATGGCCTTCTCCACCACACGAGCGATCGTTCAAGGCCCATTCGCCAATTCGCTCCTCACCACAACCACCCGAATCTCCCATCTGAAAGCAAGGAAGTACAGCAGTATGGCACCGACACCGATCTTGCTCGCCCCGGAGCGTGCTCGAGCTTCTGGCATCATCCTAGCCGACCATGAATCAGCTTTTCGCGAGAACTCGGCCACCATCGTAATGCCTTCCGCTGAAGCTGCCTTCCTTAACCCCGTGCAAGAGTTCAACCGTGATCTCTCGACGCTCGCGATCCGCACTTGGAGCGAGAGACTCGATGCTGAGAAGAAAGCAAGATTTGTTCGAGCAGCGCAACGCAAGACTGCAACGGCGGGGAAGGGCAAGTCGAAACGGAAGGGGGAATTGGCTGCGAATGGATGCACCAGTGCAGAGGAGCCTGCTGTAGGGGAGGGACAACCTGATGCTAAGAAGGCACGTGTTGATGAGAATGGTGCCAGCGCTTCGGGCTCCGCTGCTACTGTTGCCGGGGAAAGGGCACAAGTGGAAGCGACCCCGAGTGCAGTTGTGCCGGCAACATCTTCCGAAGAGGAATGTCGAAGCTACAAATTCACTCTGTTGGAAGCGCTAAGTGCAACGGGACTTCGAAGTATTCGATACGCTAAAGAGATTCCCTTGCTGCGATGGGTGCTGGCGAATGATCTTTCACCCACTGCTGTGGAGGCGATGAAGCGGAATGTTGCACTCAACTTCCCACCTGATCGTCCGGTGGATGAATGGATCTTCTCTGAACTGAACGGAAACAAAGCCGGGAGCGAGGCGGAAGAGAGTGAAGAGAGCGAGGCTATGGACGAAGATGCTCTTGCGGAGAGGGAGGACGAAGCACGTGCACGAGCACAAGCACAAGCACAAGCACAAGCACAAGCACAAGCACAAGCACAAGCTGCTGCTGAAGCATCCGAGCCCAATCATGACACTACCACTGCAACAGAACAAAGCGAGGCAGCAACAACAACAGCACCGTCCTCTGCGGAGCCCGTAAAAAAGCCAGAAGCATTGACCGCAACTGCAGCAATCCACCCCGACTGCAAAGTGAAACTCAATGCCGGCGATGCCATCACGCTGATGTACACGCATCGCGAACCCAACAAACGATTCGACGTCGTCGATCTCGACCCCTACGGCTCTGCCGCTCCCTTCATCGACGGAGGGGTCCAATCCGTTGCCGATGGTGGACTCCTTTGCGTCACTTGCACCGATCTTGCAGTGCTCGCAGGTCACAACTACCCGGAAAAGTGCTACTCTCAATACGGAGGTGTATCGGTCAAAGCCGAATTCTCACACGAGGTCGCCCTCCGACTTGTCCTGCACACCCTTGCCACTTCAGCTGCACGATACGGACGATACATCCAACCAATGCTGAGTCTTTCGATCGATTTCTACCTTCGCACTTTCGTCCGGGTTTGGACTGGACCAGTGGAAGTTAAGAAGGTTGCATCTAAGGCTGGTACTGTCTACGTCTGCACTCATTGTCAAGATTTTCATGTGCAAAAGTTCGGTCGGGCTACGCAAATCGCCAAGACAGGCAAGACAGGTCAGACCAACATCAACTACCGTTACAACTCAGCTCAAGGACCACCCGTAGGCGAACGATGCAATGAGTGCGGGAATAGGATGCATCTCGGTGGACCAATGTGGTTAGGCGATTTGCACGATGCTGAATTCTGTCAATCCATGCTCTCCAACCTGGATGCCAACCCGTCCGCTTTCCACACCAGTGCCCGGATCCGAGGTATGGTGAGTCTAGCAGGACAAGAGCTATCCGGAACGGAGTCAATGTTTTACTTCACCCCACCCAAAGCATCGGGATTGTTCCACTGCGTTTCTCCACCGTTGGATAAGATGGTCAGTGCGTTGATTTCGGCTGGGTTTAAAGTGAGCAGATCTCATGCTGCTGCTGGGTCGTTAAAGACGAATGCGAAGAGGGTGGATTTGTTCGATGTGCTGAGATATTGGGTGAAGACGCAGCATCCGGTAAAGATGGAGAATATAAAAGAGAACGATCCGGCGAGAGTGCTGTTGGCGAAGGAGCCAAAGAGAGAGTACGAGTTTGATAACACAAAGTCGGAAGAGGTTTTGAGGGCGTTGGGTGCTCAGGAGAAGTTGGTTAGGTATCAGAACAATCCACTGCCGAATTGGGGGCCGGGAACGGCGGCAAAGGGTCATAAGGGGAAGAAGAAGAGGAATTTGCGCCCGGATGATTTGTCGAGTGCGTGATCATTGGCAATCGATCTGTAGTCTCATGATCATGATGGTAATCAAGATGCATTCACTCTCAATCCTGTCGACATAGGTAACAGACCATGTTGGCGAGTGCTGTGATTGAGAACGTGGTTGATATCAGTGAGGTTGATCTGCAAGATAAAGAGAAGCTAGGGTGAGAAAGAGAAAAGGAACTGCAGCACCGGCGTGGTCCCCCAGCGCAGTACTGACTAGGCGATACCCTGCTTAACTTGGCAGATCGGACGGGATGCGGTGCTGTCAAGGATCTATGGCGGCAGGTGACAGACTTTGCTTCAGTAGAGATTATATATTTGCCTTGTCTTGACAACTTCAACACAGCGTCAGGATAGACGCAGTCGATGTCATCAGATGGTGGTTTTGATACTCGGACGAGTGTGGGCCTCACAACAGAGATTGTGTATGCGCCTGCATGAACCGCAGGATCGACTTTGGTCCACGCTGCCAAGTCTTGGCACATCTGTGTGTGCACCTGGTGATCACTTTCTCTGCTGTATGACTGCCAAGCCTTTCACGGAAAGATGAGTGTGGTGGTGCAAAAGGGCTTGGCGCATCTCGGAAGGATTGCCTGTCGCCCCTTTGCTCTCCGCTCTGTCTTGCACTTTGCGATGTGTCTCCCCCTCCCCGACCTTTCATTCGGACGAATGTATAGATGAGATAGTGATATAGCTGGGAATTTGATGATGCTGCGAAGAGTGTGCGGGTATTTCGTTTCGCAGGCACGTTCTCAAGAGAGTGGTCCAAAGCTCATTCACCTAAATAGACTTGAGACACACCTTTTAGCTCCTCAGACTGACAAACCCACCCGTATCCGAGAAAAACACGAGGGCGGGACAGGCGGTAAGGAAAGCGGCGGTCACACGCAAAGCCCACGCTAGTCTCCTTTTATTTTGTATTTTGTATTTTGTATTTTGTATTTTGTATTTTGTATTTTGTATTTTGTATTTGTATTTTGTATTTTGTATTTTGTATTTTGTATTTTGTATTTTGTATTTTGTATTTTGTATTTTGTATTTTGTATTTTGTATTTTGTATTTTGTATTTTGTATTTTGTATTTTGTATTTTGTATTTTGTATTTTGTATTTTGTATTTTGTATTTTGTATTTTGTATTTTGTATTTTGTATTTTGTATTTTGTATTTTGTATTTTGTATTTTGTATTTTGTATTTTGTATTTTGTATTTTGTATTTTGTATTTTGTATTTTGTATTTTGTATTTTGTATTTTGTATTTTGTATTTTGTATTTTGTATTTTGTATTTTGTATTTTGTATTTTGTGTTTTGTATTTTTATTTTTATTTTTATTTTTATTTTTATTTTTCTTTTGGTCTTTTCTTTGCTTTCTAATTGGACGGAGAGACACAAGAACACAGGGAGTCGGGACAGCGGGCAGATCTGATTTGCGGATACAAAGACCTGTTTGCTCTCTGGCTTTGCTTTGCTTTGCTTTCGAGTTCAAATACAAATCGAGGCTATCAATGTTTAGAGCCCAGGTCACGTTCCATATTGCGAACGAAATGTATTCAAATTAAGAATTGCAAGGAAAAGAGGCTTGGCGTAAATGCAAAGTTACCTACGGTTCAAACAGCTACAGGGCTTGGCATGGCCACTGTTCAACGTTTCCTTAGACTCGGCCCACGCCCCGTTTGGGCAAAAAGAGGCGCGAATTCATTCGTGGCGAATTTGCTTGGCTTGCATTGGTGCGTGTGGGCTTGAGCTCCATGGATCCCGCCCTTCTCTCGCACTTGCTTTCCGGCATTCAAGCCGCCGCTCCGCCTTTTTTTTTTTTTTTTTTTTTTTTTTTTTTTTTTTTTTTTTCTTTTGCCTTTCACCCGCACCCGCAGCGCCCTCTCTGTCTCGTGTGCTTCTGCGCATTCCGCAACATGGCAAGTTCGAATTTCCGGCGGTTCTCCCTGTTCCGTCTTGGACTAGGGATACCGACGTTTGCAACTTCATCTCTTGTACAAGACGACAAAGAGGGCCTCGGTTTGCTTTGTGAGACAAGGGCTTGTGTACCGCTTTCTTGTTGGCCGTGTGAGATTGAATGGTGCAATGCAACGAGCAACACACATTCGCAAACACCGTCAGTCTTGGCTCAGGCTTTGATTTCTTGGCTGAAATGATCAAGTCAAGTGTGCGCCAAGTGTCATGAGTGTCGATGTGCTGCTCATCCTCCCGTTCTTGGCATTTTCCTTTCTTGCATTTGGGCTTTGGCTTCCTTCGCTCTAATGCCCTCGTCCTTCCATCCGCCTTGTGAGGTGTCCGCATCTCTCCCAAGCTCCTTTGGGCTCCTCCTTTGTTGCTTGGCCTTTGAGTTGCGAGGTAGTGATGGTTGCCCTTCTCGCCCTCTCGCTTGTGTGGGCAGCAACAACCCATGTGATCTCGCCTTCTCTCTCTCTCTTCTCATGCCCCGTCTGGCCCTTATCCCCACTTCGGTGTCCGATTGTCTCGTTCAGGTACCAGGTTAGGCGGTCAGAAGGTGGGACAACCCGTCGGTCCAAAACTCAGCTGAATGCTTGGCATTTTAGACACCTACCTTCTCCCTCCGTCGCTTCGCCTCCTTTGGCTTGCCTTCTGCCGCCGCCTCATCCCATCCCGCACTTTGCCTTGCACTTGCCTTTGGCTCACAGACGGCCATCATTCGGGTGCCCTTGTCCGCCGCTGTCCTTGCCTCTTTCTGCTCTCCTCATTCCCGCTTCCTCTGCTCGATCTGCCCAAGTCTTGGCATTGTTCCCTCGTGGTCAACGCTCCGATCGTATATAGCCCTTTCCCGAATCTCGCCTTTCCCCTCTCCTTCCCCTTTGACCATTACCATCGTCCATCGGTATCCTCCTCGTCCTTGTCCTTCCGCCGCCCTTTTCCACATTTGATACACGACAACAGTAGCAGCAGCAGCAGCTTTGGCTTGCTCCCCTTCTTCACGCTCCTTTCTTCACGCTCCCACACTTCAAACGCACCTGGCACTCGAGCATTTATTTGCATCTAGCTTATCACACTCAGATGAACTCATCAGGAGCTCCCAACATGTCCAGACCACACTCCACCTACCACAACTCGCCATGGCCATCTAGCAGCGATCAGCACCGTGCCCCTTCCCACCACCACCACCACCATCAACAGCAGCAGCAACAACACATGGCTCACTCTGCCTACTCTGCTTCGGCAGGGCCTTCCACCTACCGTGCACTCTCTGGTCCTTCCCACCCTCACTCGGACTCACGGGCTCGCCGAAGTGCCAACGCCGGTCCTTCCATCTCGCCCTTGCCACCCACCTTCGCATCGCCAGCATCTGTCCCATCCAGTCAGCCTGAGCAGCCCATCATCCGCACCACCCACATCACTGCCGACGGCACCACCATCTACGCTGCCACTGGCCGCAAGCGCAAGCGTCTCCAAAAGGCTTGTGTTGCTTGCCACAAGGCCAAGCGTCGCTGCGATGGTGGTCTTCCTTGTTCCAACTGTGACTTCTCCGGTCGCACTTGCTGCTACTCGGATGCCAACGGCAAGATGGTTCTCCCCACTGCTCGTGTCGCTAATGAAGGTGGCCAGTCCAGTACCGCTCCCAGCCCTGGCGCTCACTCTGGTGCTACTCTTCGCCCCACTGAAGGCTTGACACCAGCATACAGCGGTGCCGCATACGCCCCCGCCCCAAGTGGCAGCGACGTCTCTGGCCGCGTTCGTGCCAACACCCGCAGCTCCAAGTCCAGCCCCCAGTCTCTGGGCACCATCAGCTCGCGTCTCGAAGGTCTCCTCACCATCGACGATGTTGCACCTGAGCGCAAGAGAGATCTCGTCAGCATCTTCTTCTCCCAGATTCACCCTTTCAGCTCTGTCATGGACGAGATCTCGTTCCTTCGTGATCTCTCCACCTCCGAGGTGCCCGCTTACTTGTTGATGGCCATGTTTGCTCTCTCTGCTCGCTACGATCAGGCCATTAGCGAGGCTGAGCGCGAGCGTCGCTTCTCCCATGGCGAGGCTTTCGCCCGCTCGGCTCGTCGCATGCTTCAGGAAGAGGACCAGGATGGCTTCACCCTTCTCGATCGCCCGGACGTCGACCTTGCTATGACGCTCTGCTTCCTCGCTGCACATGAGCTTGGCATGGGCCGCATCCAGCGTGCACTCTCGTTCTCCAACGATGCAGTCCGCATCATTGCCACCCTTCGCCTTGCTGAGGGCCACGTACCTCCTGCCCGCAAGAACGGGTACGCTCGTGACTCGTTCTCGTCGTCATCCTGGCCTCGTCTCGCTACCTGCGAGCGCCTCGTTCTTCTTGCCTGGACCCTCGACATGACCATCTCTGCGCTTGCTACCCAGCCTTCCATGGTCCGTCGCTCTGATGTCCTTGCCGCTGCTCGCAAGTTTGGCACCTCCGGTGATGAGATTCGCGACGAGGTCACCAAGTCGTTCGCTCGTCTTGCCGAGATCGCCACTGTCTTCGGTCTGGTCCTTGACGCCAACGAGCCTTGCAGCAAGGGTGAGGATGCTCTCCAGTCCTGGGCTGCCGCGCTCGTTGTCGAGCACAAGTTTGATGACTACAACATGAAGTCGGCCAGCCGTCTTCTTGAGGAGCCTGAGGCTAGCGCCGCGTCTCACCGTGCCTGGTTCTGGGCTCAGATGCACCTTGTCGCTGAGTGCTCTGTCTATCTCATGCAGGCTCGCCGTGCTGGTGGCCCCCAGGGAGACCGAGGTCAGCAGAAGGCAGCCCTTGACAACATCCACTTGATCTTGTCCGTGCTCAGCATCACTGGTCGTCGCAACCTCTTTGCCTTCCCTGCCTTGCTCATTTGCACTCAGTACAGCCGACCTAGCCCTGACGCTTCGCGATGGTGGACTACCGCTCGTCAGTGCTGGAACTTGGCCGAGCACCATATTGCCGAAGCCGCTCGGTTTTTTGTCCGGCCCAGCAATGACGCACCTTCCCCAGGCAGCGGTAGTCCTTCCGCAGCAGATGCAACAGAGTCATTGACGCTTCCTCGTCTCTCGAGCTCTTCCATCGGTAGTAGCTCTGGTCGAGCCGGCGCTCCTGCTTCTTTGCCTTCGATCGCTAGGTTGCCTCTTCCATCTCTGCGTCTCTCACCTCCTCTCTCTGCTCCCATCAGGGACTCTGAGCTGCGTCGCTCCCCCGAAAGCGCAAAGATCGAGGCTGCTGCATCCTGGCGTTCTGCGTCGTCGGATGCTGGCGCTCGCTACAACCGATCATCCATTGGTGGTAAGAGCGAAGATGGTTCCGACGGTAGCAGTCCCGACTCTTCCTCGAT